TCTCTCTCTCTCTCTCTCTCTCTCTCTCTCTCTCCACTACCCTCCTCGGCGCTGGACTCCTCCAGCGCTGTGCCTCATGGCCGATGAGCAGCGCAGCTGCAGTCTCGAAATGGCGCAGCAGGGAGTCTCCAAAATAGCGCAGCAGCCAAGTTCCTGAACCAGCATAACGCTGGATTTCTCCTGGTACCTTCTGTGTCCGAAGTGGGCAATGGCCCAGCTTAAGTAGTGGTGGGCCAGGACTGAAAACCCACGGCCTGCGTTCTGGACCGTGCAGATCGAAACTCCGATCCACGGTCCAGATCGCAGGCTTCGAAAACTGGTTCAGTCCTTGGCCTAAAATGGCCTGTCTGGGTCCCTACCGGACGTCCAGGCCCTGTCCAGGATTAATCTTCCTGGTGCCTGGCTTCAAACCGGTCCTGTGCGGACGTACCCGGCCTCAACGTCGGCCTGGGTTCGAACAGGTCAAAATCTGTTCAAAAACAAAAGAAAAGGTCCAAACGTTCTTAGGAGCTCAGCCTCTGAGCCTGAATCTGGCCCTGGCCCTAGAAGCGTGTACCTGGCCACAAAACGGACAACAGTACACCCGTTAGAAAAACAGCAGCAAATAAATAAAATAAAGACTATAAAAATAATCTAAAGCTGGCGTTTTTCTGATGCAGGCCCAAGTAAAAATGCCATAGGGCCTTCAGGTTGCGGTGACGCGACCTGGGGGCCCTATTCCAACCTCGGGTCTCGTGAGGGGCCCGTGTGTAGGCTTTCAGCATGTAACACGCCCCCCTCCTTATGAAGACGAGCCGGGGCACGGGCAAAGCTGCTGATCCGATGGCGGAATGTAGCGAGGATGGCGAGGAGCTGGAGTGCTCTGCGTAGTCTTCCCTTTGCTAAGATAGCGTGAGAGAACGGCGGGGGCTGTGGCCTGCAGTTCCGAACGCGTCAGCCAACGGTCAGCCTTGTRGCTGCAGTAGGAAAAGTGAAGTAGAAACTGTGTTTCTTTGTTGCCATGGCGCCGGTCGGTAATGATGTAGCCGGCCTCCTGAAATCCGTCCATGGAAGGAGGGTCTTGCGTATGTCGACCGGGAAACTCGTTGGACTCCGCTGAAACAAAAGGAGCGAGTTTGGAACAATGGAACACCGTGTGGACGGGCAAGTGAGGTGGCACCGCGATGCGGAATGAGGGCCCCTCGGGATCATCACCAGCTGCAGAGAGAATSCGCCAAGGCCCCATCCACTTGGGAAGGAGCTTGCGAGAGATGTCTTGCTCAAGGCTGAACTCCGCTGCGGAGACCCAAACCAGATCGCCGGCGCGGAACTGGCAAGGAAGGCGATTGCGGTTGGCTTGACGGCTSATCTGTATTTGCGTCTTCGACATCTGATCCCGTGCCTTGACAAGAAGCTCTTGCATGCGACGAAGGAACGCAAGATGGTCGTCGCTCTCGGCTGTGCGCGGCAAAGTAGCGTCCAGCGGCGATGAGATGGGTGAACCATGCTCAAACTCGAACGGCGACATCCCGAAAGCCGGGTGGATCGATGAGTTGTAAGCCAACTCAACGTCTGGCAAGCGTTCAACCCAATCAACCTGGTCGGGACGGATGAGAGTGCGGAGAAGGACTTGATCGGTCTGATGCGCCCTTTCCGTTTGACCATCGGTTTGCGGGTGGCGAGCCGAACTCGGCTTCAAGGATGAGCCCCATCGCTTGACGAGGGCGACCCAAAAGTCGGAGAAAAAGCGAGTGTCCCGGTCGCAAACGATCTCCTTGGGGTAGCCCTTGGAGCGAATCCAACTGGTGTATAAGACCTCGGCTAACTCCGGTGCCTTTGCGTGATAGCGGCAAGGCAAAAACATGGCGTACTTGG